TTAGGGATGAAATTGAGTTTGGTTTGGGTATAAAAAAAAAAAAGGAAAAAAAGGAAAAAAAAAGGACTTTAGATGCATATTTTGAAAAGCGGCAAATTGAAAAATGTTATCAAATTAAAAATCTGTTAATTTGTATTAGTATGAATTTTAATGAATTTAAGTAGTTATTATTTTATATAATCGTTGGGCCTTAAAGTATTTTAAAAAAATTATTATCACTGGCCAAAATTGGGACCGAAGAATTTTATTATTTAAGCGAAATTATTAATTTATTGAGGTTTTACTATATATACAATGAATCTTGTTGTAGAATTTTACATTAGCAACCTAGACGCTGTTGCTATTTATGTTGGGTTCTTGTATTTATTTATTTATTTTTTCAATCCATTTATGTAGCTCAGGTTTGAACCTCATTTTTTTAAAATCAAAATATATCATTCAACAGTGATTTGACCTCATTTCAACAACATATTTTCTAATAAAATAATATTACACGTAAATTCAAAATATTTTTTTTATTTTTTAACCACATATTTTTCATCTTAACACTATTTCAAAATACAAATTTTTGAAAAAAAAAAATGAGGCTCAAACAAAGCTGTAATGTAGTGTCCTACAACCCCTATTAAATGATTGGAATATTACATTGATTTAATTTCATAATGCAACAGTGTGATCTTGACAATTAAATATGACCATAGAATTTGGTTCCATATTTGATGCTTGCATACAGGAATAGTTGAATATGTCTATCACTGAACAATATTCCTTTAAGGTTCCATGAACGGACTATGTGATATTACATAACAGTGGCAACCTTTTAATTTGAACCTTTTTTTTTTTTTTTTCACATAGAGAAATGGATTTGTGAGTGTCTTTGTAAAGAAAGAAGGAGATACATTTGGTCTTCTAATTCCATATTCTTGCAATTAAGTGGATCTTGTGTGAGATGATAATGAATGAATTAAAGCGTGACAAGAGGAAATCATGTATGAAAATTGAGTACGTTGCTCTCTAAAGTTTTACATGAAGCTGAAGCAAAAGGATGCATGTCTTACAGTCTATGCGATGTTCTTGAGATGCTACATATTGCTTCAACGAAATCCAGACAGATAACAATATAAAATCAACTTCAAATGATTAACTCATAAATCACAACATAAAATCGAAACATAAAATTGACTTTTAAGAAAACTTACATATCTTGAATCCCAAGCAAGGTTATACAATTTTAAAAGGTCCACAGTAATAACCCATAAATCACAACATAAAATCAACTCCAAATGAATAAAGAATAACCTAAAAATCGACATTAAAAGAGGGAGAAGATAAGGTATTAAACTTACAATGGAGAAGATGTGCAAAATATGGGATTTTTGTTTAGTGGTTGAAATTTATTGTAGAAAATAATAAGGACATTATGGGGTTTAATATGTGGAAATAATTATGAGAGAATTGGGGGAGCGTGAATGGTGGAATTTATTTGATAGAATAAGAAGAATGGGGGTGATTTGATGATTCTTAGTCAAAACGCTTGATCCTGTGCCCCATAATTGTTGTAACTTCTGAAAGTTTTAACTTTCAAAGTAAAAGTTTATTTTAATTTTCACTTTTCTTTGTCTTTATTTCAGTTTTTAACATAAAATTAAAACCATTAATTCTATAGTAACTTACATTTTAAGTGGATTCACTTTTCGCTCTTGTGAGGGTTGATTTTTTCCTTATAAGAAGGGATTGCTTTTCACAACCTGAAAAACAACCTGAAGGAATGTTCTTTGTACATTTTATACTATTTTGACAACTCGATAAACGCTTGTTTTTGTCTCTCTGTGGTTATGCTCAAAGAAGGAGAATCGATTGTGAATTATATGGATTTTATCTTGATAGCTTTCCTGCTCTTGCAATAAGCGAGGCTGTCCTGGCCTAATAAGGTAAAAGAAAGACTGGGTGGCCGCTAAGAAGCGGAATCAAGAGCAGAAGAAGCAATGGTGGATCCAAAGCCAGTTCCAGTTCCGCTAGTTCAAGAAAGTGGACTATCAAATCAAGAGCAGTCCCTGGTTTCTAGTGTTGAAAGTATTTGTACGAAGATGTGGCAATACGACTTTATGGCATCATCCTTAACGTGACTCCCTATAATTTGCTTTTTTAAATTTTTTCTCAACTTTATGTCATGTTATGTTGAATTCTTATATTTATTATAATAGTTGAATTATATTTATTAATGATATGTTTATATTATTTAATTGATTATATTAATTGATAAATATCTACATATAAATCTCCTATTTTTTCAACAATACTTTGAGATGCGCCTCTCCATCTATAAAGGTTGAGCAGTAAATTTGGTAATTTTTTAAAAAGATAGGGTAGCTCGTGTAATTTCCTCCTAAGAAAAATGCTCTTGGCATGTTCACTTTTATACCACGAAAAAATAAAAACTAGAAAATGGGTCAATTATGGGGTTTTCATGATTATTGAATTTTGTTTCATCCGTGTAAGCCCTGCTTGACAGCCATTAAGATAAAATTATTTTTTTTTCTCAAATTTACTTTCAACAATACATTTTTATAATAAAATATTTATTACATAAATTAAAATTTTTTCTTATCCAAAAATTCATTATTGCAAAACTCATTATTTCCCAAAAAACTCATTTTAGCCCCTATTTGACAGCGATTTTTTATTTTATTTTTGTAGAATGAGTTTTTGAATAGTAAATTTTTGAAAAATGTGTGAATAAAAAATAATTTTTTTTAGGTTTATGTAAAAAATATTTTATCATGAGAATATATGATTGAGAGTGGGTATTAATAAAAATAAAATTTAAAAGAATGATTATCAAACATGGGCTTAATGGTAATTGGGGCTAAATATCTGGGGTGCGTCTTTGGGTGGTTAATTGAGGAGAGCTGATCTTCGTCCGAGGTGGGAAACTATATCTATAGAGAAATTGAGGAAAAATGATATTTTAAATAACAATTTTTTGGAGAAATTGAGGAAAAATGAAAATTTTTGGGTTTACTTACAAAATATTTTACTATATTATTTGTGATTGAAAATGATTATGTAAACAAAAGAATTCAAATAGCTTTAAATTCATAAATTTAGAGTTAGGCAAAAATGTTCAGAAAACATGATGAGGCATTAACCAACAAAACAAGTCATAACATATTGGATTATCATATGTGATATATAGTCAGAAGCAACATTGGTGTATAGTAGATAGTAGATAGCAATGTTTGAAATAAGGCAGCATCAAGTAACATTGTCAAGAGACGTTATTTAGACAAATGAAATTAACGTGATAATGCGTTGAAGCAGATAATGGTAAAATGAAATGTCTAGAATTAATGGAGGGGTTAACATCACAATGTGGTAACTACTTATAAAAAATTATTTTCAAAATAGCATGAAATAATCTCATAAATTAAGGAAAGATAAAATTAAAGAAAAATGCTTAAAATCTATTAATTTAAATGAGATAATATGAAGGCTCCACTAAAAATGGATTTTGGAGAAAAATAAGAAAAAGAAAATGTATATCCCAAAAATGTAGCTCAAGCAAAGGCGAAGTGTATTGTTAGTAAAAAAGAATGATTAAGAAAATGGTATTTATAAATTTGAAACATTCAAGAAAATTAGATTATCAAAATGAGTTTGACAAATTATAATTGGATGATTGGAAAATACTTTTAGTCCAAATGAAATGCTCCTCCACAGTCTGGTAAAATCAATTGACTCGGCGTCTCCCGGGGTACAGTTCAATTGATGGATCAATCAATATTATCTTACTTCTAGCGGCAGGATGGAGAGTTAGATTCTTGGTGGGAACTTGCGGCCAAATATTTGGTATGGAACAATCACTGTGGAGGAGGGTATCTTGTGCGCAGAAGTGTACAGACAATGGAGGAACCTGTGATTCAGTTGAGGCATAACCCGCGATTTAGCCCTTCCAAGGTTCTAGGGGCGAGGGTCTTGAGGTCCAAAATTTAGTTTGGTGTAAGTTGAGATACCTGATATCAAAAAAAAAAATAATAATAATAAAATAAATCAATTGACTCGCATTATTTTTTTCATCCACTGCCGTCAGTACATTATTCCAGAGCAAGCAGCAGAAAGTTCTAGAAGAAAGAACCAGCGATGTCGTCTCAACAGCAACCACAGCCATCACACGTAGCAGGTCAGAATATATGAATATTTAATTTTCTTTACTTCCCCCAATGTGCCGGGAATGCTTTTGCAGAAAGAAAAAGGTGCTAAAAGAACCCTTTTTGGATTTCCGATTTTGAATTAGTTTATTGCATTCCTAGATTTTGGATGGCGCTTCCAACTTGGCTTTTTTATTTTTTATTTTTTTAATTTGCATTTGGCTTTTCGTCTCGTTTTATTTTTAAAATCTATTAATTTAAATGAGATAATATGAAGGCTCCACTAAAAATGGATTTTGGAGAAAAATAAGAAAAAGAAAATGTATATCCAAAAAATGTAGCTCAAGCAAAGGCGAAGTGCATTGTTAGTAAAAAAGAATGATTAAGCCCCCATTTGGTCCTCATTTCCTGAAAATGAAAATGGGTGAAATAGTATTTTTTTGAAAAATGAGTGGTTGAAAAAGAAGAAAAAATTTTCAATTTACGTTTAATATTATTTTATGAAAGATTGTATGGTTAAAAATAAGAGAGAGAAAAATAGAATATAATGTAATTGAATTTAATGGGGACGGGCTAAGAAAATGGTATTTATAAATTTAAAACATTCAAGAAAATTAGATTATCAAAATGAGTTGGCAAACTATATAGAGTCTGTTTGGGAGTGATTTTGAGAATTGATTTTTTAATCGTTAGGAGAAAAGTGGGGTCTACTTGTGAAAGAAGAAGTCAAATATGACGACTGAAATAGTGAAATAACGGTCAAAAAATCAATTTTTTGGGTGAAAAAATCAGGCCCAAACAGGCTCATAATTGGATGATTGGAAAATACTTTAGTCCAATGAAATGCTCCTCCACAGTCTGGTAAAATCAATTGACTCGGATTATTTTTTTCATCCACTGCCATTAGTACATTATTCCAGAGCAAGCAGCAGAAAGTTCTAGAAGAAAGAACCAGCGATGTCGTCTCAACAGCAACCACAGCCATCACACGTAGCAGGTCAGAATATATGAATATTTAATTTTCTTTACTTCCCCCAATGTGCCGGGAATGCTTTTGCAGAAAGAAAAAGGTGCTAAAAGAACCCTTTTTGGATTTCCGATTTTGAATTAGTTTATTGCATTCCTAGATTTTGGATGGCGATTCCAACTTGGCTTTTTTATTTTTTTAATTTGCATTTGGCTTTTCGTCTCGTTTTATTTATTTATTTATTTTTTGCAAGTATTATTTACTCTACCAGATTATCAAATTAGAGTTTCTGTAAAGATGTGTTTCAGGGCTAAGCCGCTAAAGCACATTTGTACATGTGTAGATGTTTGTAGCGGGGTACACGTGTGTGTTGTTTTAGAGAAATGGTTTGTAAAATAACAAAGAATATTGAAATGAGGGGTTGTTTTTTAATTTTTTAGGCCACCCAAATGGTTCTAATGCAAATCCTGGCTTAAGCTATGGAGTGGGTTGGTACACTCTTGGCCAAGAGCAACAACTCATAGGTCCGTACACTGTCTCCGAGTTGCAGGGCGAGTCATTCATTTGGCAAACTACTATCATATTGCTAAATAATTTGTTTATTGGTTGTTCTGCTTGCCTGTATTTTGGATTACACAGTATAAGTTATAGTTTTCCACTTTATTTTCGGATTAGCTCTTCCTTTGGTTCTCAGATTTTTCTTCTTGTTCTTCTTCTTGTTATTTCATTGAATTTCAGCTTTTCAAGTAAGCCATAGGCTTGGTTTTGGGGCAACCAGTTCACCTATATGATGTTTGAATAGCCTCACATGACTTTAGTATCATATAGCTTAAGCTTGTGTAATTCATCTGGACAGAGCACTATTCGAATGGATACTTCTATGAGAATACACCTGTGCGGTCAGAAGGATTTAGCGATTGGCAGCCACTATCCTCGGCTCCTGGGTTGTTGGCTCACGTACCTCAACAAGATGCTGATTACCCAAGTTCAGGCTATGACTCATTTTTCCCCAAATTATGATCCTTAACAAATGCTTCTAAAGTTTCAATTTCTTTTATGAACTTTATTCAGCCCCTGTTGCCTCTAATGAAGAAGATGACTTTGAAAAATGGCAGAAGGAGGTGATCGAAGCAAAAGCCGAGGCTTTGGCAAACATTAATGATAATGAGAGACTACAACACCACTTGAGGGAGAGGAGGAATTCACTGATGATGATGGTGTTGGCTAGTAAAGCCACTATGTTGATCAAAATGGAAACAAATTCCCTCCATGTATTAAATGGCCAACTGTGCATTTAATACACAAATGGACAAGGCCAATGGTGGAAAAAATTAAGAAAGATGCATGCATGCACAAATTGAACTTTTATTCTCCAGCCACTTGACAGTCGAAATTGTAGAAAGTTGGCAGACCTTTTTCTTGACATTTTGAAACAATTAAAGGCGGTGGAATTTATAGCATATGTCTAGCCAATTCACAGCCCACAATGTTGAAATTATGGCACGGTAATTCATGAGGAGAGGTGGCCAAATTTGCTATAAATTAGGGCTAGAGTTGAAGAGGAAATACAAGCAAATTGAGACTACAACACCACTTGAGGGAGAGGAGGAATTCACTGATGATGATGGTGTTGGCTAGTAAAGCCACTATGTTGATCAAAATGGAAACAAATTCCCTCCATGTATTAAATGACCAACTTTGCATTAAATATACAAATGGATAAGGCCAATAGTGGAAAAAATTAAGAAAGATGCATGCATGCGCAAATTGAACTTTTCTTCTCCAGCCACTTGACAGCCGAAATTGTAGAAAGTTGGTAGACCTTTTTCTTGACATTTTGAAACAATTAAAGGCGGTGGAATTCACAGCATATGTCTAGCCAATTCACAGCCCACAATGTTGAAATTATGGCACGGTAATTCATGAGGAGAGGTGGCCAAATTTGCTATAAATTAGGGCTAGAGTTGAAGAGGAAATACAAGCAAATTGAGAGGAATTAAAAGTAGAGAGTAGAGAGAAAATTGTGAATAGAGAGATAAAATTATAGAGAGAAAAATTATTGTTTTCTCTTAAGTATTTCCTTCTTGTTTTCTCCTATAACAAGAGATATTCATTGTTGTTTCCTCTTTGTATTTAGAGAATGTGTTGTAATTCTTTTACTATAGTAAAATCCTCCTGTACTTGCCCGTGGACGTAGCCTAAATTAGGTGAACCATGTAAATACTTGTGTTCATTTTAGTTGCAATTTCTCAATTCTATTTTATTATAAAGCTAAACTCGACCCATGTTTTTCCTAACAGTGGTATCATAGTAAGGTTTTGTGTAAGGGCATTGTTCACTATTTACAAATACATTACTATTTTCAGTCATAGTATAGGTGAACAAAATGGCGACAAAGTATGAGAATGAAAAGTTCAATGGGAACAATTTCTCATAATTGAAAATGAGAATAAAAGCAGTTTTGAGAAACGATAATTGCTTGGCAGCAATTGGACAGAGGCCCGAGGAGATTACTGACGATACTAAGTGGAATGAGATGGATAGCAACGCAGTTGCTAATCTGTCAAGGACTAGCCGATGGAGTATTATCAAGTGTGACGGAGAAAAAGACGATGAAAGAAATATGAGATCCTTTGAAAAAGTTATATGAGACCAAATCATTACACAACAAAATTTTCTTGAAAGAAAGCTTTACAGCCTTCGGATGATGGAGTCAACTACGGTGACCGACCACATCAACACCCTTAACACTCTAATTTCACAGCTTACAGCAATGAGGCATAATATGGAGGCGGGTGAACGTGCTGAAATCTTATTTCAAAGTCTACCAGATTCGTATGATCAACTCATCATCTTAACAAACAACCTTGAAACTCCAGTCTTCGATGATGTTGTAGCTGCTATTCTTGAAGAAGAAAGTCGGTTCAAGAACAAGGAGGGTTGATCAATAAGTTTGCATCACGCGGAAGCTTTGACGACAATGAGAGTGATATCAATGGAACGTGGCTCCATTGGGAGTCATGATCAGAGTAGATCAAAATCTAGGAGTAAGAAGAATGTTAAATGGCATTATCGTGGCATGAAAGAGTACTCAAAAAGGGATTGTTGGAGTCTCAAAAACAATGAAGAAGCCAAAGGAAAAGGTCCTGAGACGTCAAAAGCTCAGGGTTGTGTAGCAAGCACTAAGATGATGGTGAAATTTTATACAACGAAACAACAACAGTCGTTGAAGGCAGAGAGAATTTTTCTGATGCGTGGTTTATGGACTCAGGAGCTACATGACAATAATGAGGGAATGGTTTCATCAATATGAGCCTATCCCAGGAGGATCTGTGTTTATAGGAAATGATCACGCTTTGGAGATCGTTGGTATTGGTACAATTCACACTATCCAGGAGGAACGACACATAAAAGGCTTGAAGAAAAATCTATTGTCTATAGGACAATTAGATAGCATTGGCTGTAAGACCCATTTACAAGATGGGGTCATGAAAATAATCAAAGTAGCGCTTTTGGTGATGAAAACAGAAAAGATAGCTGCAAATTTGTACATGCTTAAAGGAGAGACACTTCAAGAAGAAGAAGCATCTGTCGCATCGACAGGTTCAGCAAAAGAATTAACGATGATGTGGCATTGCAAGCTTGGCCACATGTCAAAACGTGGTTTGAAAATTCTCTTAGAACAAAAGGTTTTTCCAGGGTTCAAAAAGGTTTCATTACCCTTTTGTGAGCACTGTGTTACTAGCAAGCAACATAGATTGAAGTTCAGCAGTTCCACTACTAGAAGTAAAACTATCTTGGAGCTGGTCCATTATGATGTTTGGCAAACACCAGTTATATCCCTAGGAAGTGCAAGATACTTTGTATCTTTTATTGATGATTACTTCAGGAGATGTTGGGTATATCCAATCTAGAAGAAGGTATCAAGAGACAGTTCACGATGGCATACACTCTACGGCAAAATGGAGTGGTAGAGCGGATGAACAAAACATTGTTAAAAAGAAAAAGGGCTGCCAACTTTCTACAATTTTAGCTGTCAAGTGGCTGGAGAAGAAAAGTTCAATTTGACAACTTTTTTACGCATGTATCTTTCTTAATTGTTAAGAAAGTGACATTATCCATTTGCGAATTTAATGCAAAGTTGGCAATTTAATGCATGGAGGGAATTTGTTTCCATTTTGGTCAATAATAGTGGCTTTAGTAGCCAACATTTCTCTCACATAAAATCACCTTTGTTGACCACTTCAATTCTTCCTAACAGTGGCATCTTGCATTGCTGCCATTCATAGGGAAACTTCTTGGCTATTTATAGCCTTATGGAAAGTTGATGGCTCTCCATCTTTTATCAGTAAGCAATACGCAATATTGCCCTCTATAATGTAATATGAGTGCTAAGCCAGTTCTCTTCTCTCCCGTGTTGATCGTCGAATATCTAGAGCTCTAGATTTTTTTTGTTCTTGTTCTTCGTGCTCTAGTGTTGTTCAGAAGAATTCATAACTTCTCATTCCTCTCCAACTTTGACTGTAGTAGTTTCTGATTTTTCTTTTGAAGTGCTATCATTTTCTTTTTCTTGTACCTTGCCTTCTGCAAATATCACATCTTTGCTAATTATCACCTTGTGGGCAGTGGGATCCCACCGACAGTACCCCTTGACTCCGTCTACATATCCCAAGAAAATACTTTTTTTTTTTTTAATTTTGGATCCTGCTTTGATGTTTCTTGGGTGTTGTACATAACGTACACAGGACTTCCAAATATATGTAAGCGAGAATAATCAGCTGATTTACTATTTCACATTTCCATAGGCGGATCAATTGCGGTTGATGGCGAACAATTGAGCACATAAGCGTTTTTGACTGCTTCTGCCCCAAATGACTTGGCTGGCCCTGCAGTTCCTAGACAGGCCCCGTGATGTTTGTATAAGAGATTTGATTCCTTCATCATGAGCCTTGGATACAACAGACTTAGTTCAGATCCGTGCGCGTACTACATGAGATTTGGAGATAATGATTTCATTATTCTACTGTTGTATGTTGACGACATGTTGGTAGCAGGCCCCAACAAAGATCGTATTGAAGATTTGAAGGCACAGTTGGCTAGGGAGTTTGAAATGAAGGAATTGGGACCGGCAAACAAGATTCTAGGGATGCAAATTTATCGAGACAAAAATAATAGGAAGATTTGGCTTAGTCAGAAGAATTATTTGAAGAAAATCTTGTTTCGCTTTAATATGCAAGATTATAAGCCAATTTCTACCCCACTTCCTATTATTTCAAGTTACCTCAAGATGAGTCCTAGAATTGAAGCAGAGAGGATGGAGATGTCTCGAGTACTGTATGCATCAGCAGTGGGTAGTTTGATGTTTGCTATGATCTGTACAAGACTAGACATTGCACAAGTAGTGGGAGCGGTTAGTCGATACATGGCAAATCCTGGTAAAGAACATTGGAGTACTGTAAAAAGGATCTTGAGATATATCAAAGGTACCTCAAATGCTACATTATGTCATAGAGGATCAGATTTTATTGTCCGAGACTATGTTGATTCAGATTATGCAGGTGATCTTGACAAAAGAAAGTCCACCACAGGATATGTGTTTACTCTTGCTGGAGGAGCTATAAGATGGGTTTCGAAACTACAGTCTATCGTGGCTACTTCTACGACGGAGGCAGAATAAGCTACACAAGCTAGTAAAGAGGCAATTTGGTTGCAAATATTAATAGAGGAGCTTGGACACAAACAAGAGAAGATTGCTCTATTTTGTGATAGTCAGAGCGCTTTGCACTTGGCAAAGCATCCAGCATTTCATTAGAAGACAAAGCACATTCGAGTTCAATGTCATTTTGTTCGAGAAAAGGTGGAAGAAAGAAGTGTGGATATTCAGAAAATCCATTCAGTAGACAGCCTAGTAGATGTGTTGACAAAGCTAATTAGTATTGACAAGTTCATATGATGTCGATCCTTCATCGGCCTAGCAGAAGTGTAAAGTGGCATGAAAATGGCAAGTGTAGGAAGGATTAAAGTGGTCAACAAAAGCGACTTTAAGTGGGACAAATGTTGGCCACTAAAGCCACTATTATTGATCAAAATGGAAACAAATTTCCTCAATGCATTAAATGGTCAACTTTGCATTAAATGCACAAATGGATAACGTCAATAGTGGAAAAATTAAGAAAGATGCATGCATACAAAAGTTGGCAAATTGAACTTTTCTTCTCTAGCCACTTGATAGCCAAAAATGTAGAAAGTTGGCAGCCCTTTTTTTGACATTTTGAAACAATTAAAGGCTGAGGAATTTACAACATATGTCCAGCCAATTTACGGCCCACAATGTTGAAATTATGGCACGGTAATTCAGGAGGAAAGGCGGCCAAATTTGCTATAAATATAGGGCGAGAGGTGAAGGGAAAATACAAGCAAATTGAGAGGAATTAAATGTAGAGAACAGAGAGTGTTGTGTGTAGAGAGATAAAATTATAGAGAGAGAATTTATTGTTTTCTCCTAAGTATTTCTTTCTTGTTTTCTCCTATTACAAGAGAGATTAATTGTTATCTCTTTATATTTAGAGAGTGTGTTGTAATTCTCCTAATATAGCGAAATTCTCTTATACTTGCCCGTGGGCATAGCCTAAGTTAAGTGAACCATATAAATACTTGTGTCCATTTTTAGCTGCAATTCCTCAATTCCATTTTGTTGTAAAGTCAAACTTGACCCAAGTTTTTTCTAACAGATCGAACTATCTACGAATGGGATCATATTCTTGAAGCCTGGGTTCCTCAGGTTGGTGAATGAAATTTTACATGGCATTGTTGTTATACTTTTGGGATATCTTGCATTTTATTCCTTTCTTAAAAAAGCATTGGTAGAAAGGTTACTTATTTAGGCCCATTGTACCCTTCCTACAGAGGCACGCTACTCATAGTAGTTTGTTGGGCTATTTTCTTCCTCCGGAAACTCATTCATTTTCCTGCCTTAGTTTTTGCAATGTTATCCTTTTTTGTGATCTTCCCTGTAAGTTGCATAATAGAGCTCCACATCTTCCTTTTACTCCTGTTTTTTGATCAATGTTCGTTCCTGTTGATTATTCATGGTAGGAAAACACAACTCAGACAACTGAAGAATATGCTCCTGAAAATATGACTTAGACAAGAGGAGGAGGTTTTTCCAATAAATGCTGATGATCTATCAGCCTATGACGTGGATAATGTTGCCAGTGACGCAGGAGCAAATCAGAATGGCAAGAGAAAGTAGCCCGAGAAAGCTGCTGATAGGAAAATTGAGGAAAAGAAGGTGCTTCTTTCATATTTTGTGTTATGCATATTATTGCTTATCGCCTTGGATATAGTATAGGATTTTTGTAATAGATAGATTATATGATTATACCTTTTGCTACTATCTCCACTCGGCCCCAGCAGATGTTATTATTACTGTGTTCAACTTATCATGTTCATGGTTATAATCTTACTGCAGATTATAGTCCTGTTAGTAGCATTTTATTTTTTGTATTTTTGCCAGCCCAACTGATGATTTTATGTTTTTTATTTTCTTGCTTGTTCCGTCTTTTATTTTTGTAAAATGTCTCGAGTGGTGCCTAAAATGAAAAGCAACCATTTGAGGCCTTCAGATTCTTGAGCTAAGATTAATCAGTTGGCTGCTACACATGAGAGATAAATGCAATTTACATGCCATCTACCAAGTGATTTTTGTCTTTCTATGGACAATTTTAGCAAGCTAACTTGAACCCTTTTTTGCCACCATGCTTTACTCCATCACATAGTTTAATTTGCCAAATGAAGGACACAAAAAAGAAAAGAAGCCCAATTCATCCTAAGTTAGCTAGTTAAAAATGATCTTTATGAGATGTGAATGAGTATGGTGTGTTATGGTTCCATCCTCCACGCCTGTATTTGTTGGGCCTCTGTGATGTGCTATTGAGTTGCAGTTGCTTGACGTGAATTATTTCAAATGAAAGGGTTAGTTTGGATGGAGGTTGGAATGGTCAGGATGGCTGTGTGGAGGTGGGATATGAGAATGGCTGCATGATGTGGGGTGAAAAATGGTATGGACTTGCTCTGGGGGTGGGGGAAGAGACATGATGGAGGCAATTGGGTATATGGAAAATTGGGTGTTAGCTTTTTAAGATTAGAACAATATGGCTTGGGTGGCTGTTATCGGGTGCAAAGTTCTGTGAAGGCCAGGGAAAGTGGCTAAGTGTGAACTTGTTGTTGAAGGTGGCCAATGTGACCTGGTTGGTTGCCAAGTTTGGATGGTTTGATGGAAGCTGTTGGAGGTGGAGCATGTTGTCTTTGCTGTCTAACTCTAGCTTGTGAATATTGATTTTCCAAAGTGTAAAATCTGATCCAAGGTGCAGTACAATCCATTTCAAATAGAGGAATTTTTGAGAACTTCCTGTCCCAATGTGTTTTTGCGGATATTATTGCAAAGCTCTGGAGAAAATTGTGTGAGGTGGGGAATATGCTGTTGGAGATTGCAATAGAGATATAGAGGTGGCAACTGTGTTTGGAGTGGGTTGATGGAGACTCTTGAAGGTGCAGTTTTTAGGCCATTTGATCAATTTTGTGAGTGATGAGTTTATACACTATAAGATTTGACTTTGGTGTGGATGATGAACCTGAGTGCACCACAGAATTTGTGTCCCGCTAAACTTCACCCTTCCCAATCTTTCTCCAAGACAAAAGGTTCTGTATGTAGCATGCATTAGATAGAAAAATTAGACCGCAATTAAGTTGTTGTGCCAATTTCTTAGCTGATATAAATTGAAGTTAAATGCAGGAACACAAAGTACGTCTTCAAGGAGTAATGAATCAGTGACCTTAACCACACCAGTATGCATGACAGGGACTACATTTCCATTTGGCAACTTTACTGAAAATGAGGCTTTTGAATTAATAGAAGTAAAAAACCTGGTGTGACAAATCATATGATCTGTTGCACCAGTATCAATAATCCATGGAATATTTGAAGGTTTATGCAAGTGTGTGTGTGTGAAATAGATAGACAAATAGGTATACCAGACATGGAAGATTGAGAATCAATTTTGGAGTGGTTAATGGTCTGAATTTGGTTGGCAGAGTGAGAAGCATCCCTGTGTTGAAGCAAAGCTAGGAGCTCTTGATATTGTCCCTTGGTTAAAGAGACTTGTTCTTCACTGTCCTCATTGGGGCTGCCGGGTTTGCAGAACTTCCTCCTCCCTTTCCCGGATTGTACGGCTTGTGATTTGGGGGATAACCATGTAACACGTAGCATTTCTTTATTGTGTTTCCAGTCAAGTTGTAGTGTGTACAAACAGGTGCCTCCGCATTACCTGATTTAGAATAGTTTCCGAGAGAGTGTCCAGGGATCTTGCAGTATGTGCAATAGGGTCTCTCCTTTTTTTCATTAGGAAATGTCTTTCCATAACCAGACATCCAAGACACCTTATTACCCCCAATATTCTTCTTTAACAGTCATTGCAACAGCTTCATTGTTTGAGACAAGTTGTTTCTGCCTTTCTTCTTTTTGAATATATGAAAACACCTTTTAACCGGGGGAATGGGTTCTTCATCATCATAATTTGGGCTCTTGTGTTATCATAAATATCATTTAAACCCATCAAAAATTTAATCACGCAGTCCCGTTGATACCTATCAACTAACACCTTCAATTTTCCACAACTACATTCAGGAATAGGCTAATAATTTAACAATTCATCCCAGGTAGTTTTGAGCTTACCATAATATATGCTCACCGAATCATTTTCTTGTTCCATATCAGCTAAGGCTTTCTTCAGTTCATAGATTCGAGACCCGTTCATCTGAGAGAATCGATCTCTTAAGTTCTGACCAGATTTCACTGGCTTCATCCATGAAAGCAACAGTAGATCTGAGAGACGGAGACATGGCATTTTGAATCCATGACAGCACCATGTCGTTGCATCGCTCCCAAGAGTCAAAACATCTGGTTGAGGGGTCTGGTTTAGGTATCCATTGATGAAACCGAGCTTGTTCTTTGCTCAAAGTGCTCGTTGAAGAGCCCGTGACCAAGTCGAATAGTTGTGTGCAGTCATTAGTTCTGTGACCAGCACAGTCCCAGGACTATCAGAATTCTCTAATCGAAAAGGATTAGAAAGATCTGATGCAGGAGCAGGTGTAGGTCTCTCGGTAGATGAAGGTTTATTCTCTGTAGCAGATGAATTCATTTCAGTATTGGTTGCCATAAGGCTATGATACCATGTAAATGATTGATAATGAAAGGAGATAATAGAAGAATGCTATAAAAATTAAAAGGTAGAAAACAGAGAACTGCAGGAGAGTGGCTGAATTTCTTCTCATTCAATCATCTCACTTTCAATGAATGCGCAGCTACAAATATATAGAAGAGGGTCCTAACAAATTATGCACACCTGGCTAACAGAAAGCTAACAAGCAGAAAGGCTAACAGAAAAAAATATCTATACAAATAACTAACTATACTGTAATAAAATATCATGCAACTTCAACTTTATTCTAAGTTCTAGAATTGAAAATTTTAATGTTGCAATGATATGAAAATTTTTGCCATGACCATATTGTTCAGGATTCGAGAAGGTCTTGGATTTTTATTTTGTTATTATTATTTTTTTGTTTTACTATTAATTTTTTCTGATCTAGCACAAGTTTGTTAAACTTCAGTACTCCAAGGAATGTAATTAAATATTGTCCAGTGATCACACTTGACAATATTAAGGAATAAAAAGAAGTTAAAATCTAGTTAATTAAAGTGTCCACTACTTCCGACCTAACATGCAACTATGGTTTTAATGTCTTGCTCCATTCAGGTTTCGATTGCTTACCATAAAAATATTTCTTTTACGTGAATTGGGTTGAGCTTTGATAATTCTTCATTTCTAGCAAGTTTGGTGGAAGGCAGATACATGCAAGTGAGGATGATGGAATGATTAACCATACTTCGGTATGGGTCTTGGATGAAGATACTGATAGATTGGAGAAGTTTGGAGCTGAAGTTGAAGCTGATTGAGGTGATCCCTGCTGATTAATGTGGAAAACTGCAGAATTCTATTCTTGTAAGAACGCCTAAATTAGGGACTTGTACATGGTATGTATCTGGTATATGATCTGTGATAATTGCCAATCATGAGTTTTATTTATGTAACGTTACACGTAGATTTTAGGTACTGATTCATCTATGTTTTTTAATCACGGATGGCCTGCTATTCAGTTTACTGTTAACTATTCCAAGCTTTGAGATGACCTGAATGCCCTTTTCGACTATGAAATTCATATCCGACCGTTGGTCCTGGTGTTTCACAACTGCAGAAACCTGTGTTTTTATTTTCCGAAATTTTTTATATGATATTCTGAGTTAACTCTGTGTTTATATTTGGTGAATAGCTATTGCTATAATTTATATTCACTTGCTACGATATAATGTAATATAATGGCAATTTTTTCAAAGAAGCTTCTTGGTCTAGGTGAAATTTTTTCACTTGTTACTTTTAGTAAGGTCAAGTTAATCAGGATCTGTCTGTATCCTGGAGTTCTAAGGAGACAGGACATATGCCAGCCTGACCAGAGCTTGATTAGCAGCTCTATGGCTCCATCTCGGGGCCAGTAGGGCAGTAGAGGACCGTTCTTAGCTGGGTACACTCGCTGGGATGGCAAGCGGTTGTCTGACAAGACTTAACCATCGTTTTTGCTCCTTTTTTTGGATAGAAGTGGCCGACACTGTTTTATGTTGCTATGTTATTGTTGCCCTGGGGAGGTGGTTTTGAGGCCGGTAAAAGCTGTACAGGTGGTGGTGGGCGAGGTCGGTAGGGAGTTGCTGGCAGCAGTGGCGATGGCTGATGCTGGTGGTTTTGGTGCTGAACATTAAACCATGGCAAGCTTCGACTAAAAGGGGAAAATTGAGCATTTCATCCTCAACCTTTGGAGGCTCTTACTAATCCATCCCCAACCTTTAAGCGACTTTTGCACAATTTATACTTTTTAACGAGCGTTTTGTTGCTCTGCCAGAGTTTAAACCCAGGTTTTGGAAACACATCTGTCCAATTACCAAATAATTCGTGTCATCTGATTTCAAACTCTGGATTTTCACCTGTAAGTGTAGCATTCCTCGTTTAATGATTTTTGCCAACTGAGGTGCTAAAACATCACGTGGATAGTGCAAAACAAATTCCCTGGAGGCAAGTATTTATTTTTTCAAGAAAAGCAATAGTCTCGATTTTTTATTTATTAAGTTGTTAAGTGCTGTTTAATCTATTTTATTAAATATGTCATTCTTGATAAATTGAGCAAACGTAAAGGTGGAATTAAAAAAATGATTGTCATCTTTTCGCCTTGATTAACAGAACATCAAGAGGCAAAGCATGCATTGTTTTCATCATAATTTGAATATGCATTGTCGTCTTACTCCACTTATGTTCATTGTATGTCTAAGGAATTGTTCCAAGAGTAATGTTTGGTGTACAGAAAAATTCTTACAGAAAATTTACAGATATCTCACGAAGTGTGGATCCTGTATGAATAAATAATGTCAAAAAACTCACCCACTCACGCCGCCCATGTGAGGTATCTGTGAACCCCTACATTGTATACCAATCATCTTCCTTGTTTCAATTGTTTGGCGTGTTTGTTTAAAAAGATAATATGCAGAATGTCTGGACATTGGATGGATCGATCAAGAAATTCGATACTCAAAACTACTCATTAAACTTCGAGTACTTCATAAAAGGAACCATTAGTGATCCGACAATATAAATTATTTTTTTAATATCTAGTAGAATTAAAAGAAATGAAATATATTACCAAATATACATTCCAATACTTTCTTAATCCAAAACAAGTGTCATAAAAACTATCCAATATAAAGCAAAATAGTATCCATTTCGATTGTGGCTCTTTGTGCAGCATCTCAATAAAGGTTTGTTAATGGATAGTGCGTAAAATGCAATCAAAAGAATATGAGCAAAAGTTATACGATTCAATTATTAATACGAATGAATTTGATTGATCCGAATACTTAATATTTGGACCTAGTGCTAGTCGGCCTTGTAAACTTCCAGTTGTTGGGCTGAGGTCATTAAATTAGCGTAAATAAAATTTTAAAAATAAAAATTAAAAAAAAAAAAAAGATCTGATTTTAGAGTTGAGTATCCACAATTCTAATTTAAGAATCAAGAATCGAACTATATCTAGTTATTTTTTATTCCATTTATTTTACTGAAACTTTCGATTTCAATTAAATTTTTGTTCAAGAAATTCATTCGATGAAAAGTGACTAAAAATTAACAAAAGATGTCACTTTTATATTTAAGTCACCGCATTTTATTCAATTAGCGATTTTAGTTAAAAAATGTGCAAGCAAAACCACGAACCCTAAACCCTTTCTTTCATTCCGCTTTCCTCCACCACTCGCCACCGTAAAAATGAGCAAATCAACCGTATGGTTCCGCCTTCTCCGCCATCCCCTTCGACGCCTCTTTGAACCACCAAAATGCCTCTTGCCTCCATTTCCACTTCCCAATCTATCCACCACCCCTCCTTTCACTTCCCAGTTCACCAGAAAATACAGCACCAATTTTACCAACTTGTCGTTGAATGCACGTGTCGCCGCCGCGGACCGGGCACTGCAGGACCTCTCGGTCCAGATGGAGCGCGAAAGGAAACGCGAGAAAGAGGAGAGACAGAAGGCGGGACTGGATACTGCCGATATTGATGCCGATTACGATGAGGATTACATGGGCGTGGATTCGATTATTGAGAAGTTGGATAAACAAAAGTTGAAAGGGGAGAGCTCGGAGCTGAACCGGTACGAGGAGGCGACTGACTCGGATTCGGACGATGATGAGAGGTTTTCGGCTGATAAGATGAATAAGCAAGCTGATCAATTTGAAAAGAAGTTCAAGAGACATGAGGAGCTCCTTGAAAAGTTCACGAAATCTGGTAGTAATTTTGTTGACCTCATTACATGCATTTGCCATTTTTGCTTACATTTGTTTACTGGAATTTGTGTACTTACAGATTAACTTCATTTATGTGAAAAAGATATGGTTGTTGGGGTGTTAGTATTTTCCATTTCTTGATCTCTGTTGCCCGTTTCCTACCCTGCATTTTCCGTTTTAATTAACTTTGATAAAGGAAATGTTAGTTATGATTCGTGATTGGTTTCACATGCCAATATTTATACTTGATTTTTGAATACCTGTTTTTATTTAGAGTAATTGTGTTTGGAGATGTAGAATGTACGAGAAGTTTCTCAGAGTACAAAGCCATTGGTTGGTTAATATTTTCCATGAAAGGGAAAATAATGTATGAGATCTCATGAAAGAGATCCAAAAAACTTACTAGTGTGATAAAGGGATATTTTGTCCTCAGGCGTTATAGTGACAAGTGAATAAAATTTTTGTTCATTTGTAATGAATGTGATTGCAGGATTTGTTCTCTGCAATAAGATTTTTGGTACAAAATACCAGATAATGTGAACCGAGCTTTAGTTTCTGAATGTTATACTACAGCATGAATTGTCAAGGAGATCTATACAACTATTAGTGGGTTATGTTTCATTGTTTTGCAATTTAAACATTTTCTTCTCTTCTTTGTTTTGGTATTATATACATCTATTTAACTTCATAGATTTGAGCAGAGACTCTTGATGATGCATTCAAGTGGATGAATAAAATTGACAAGTTTGAAGACAAGCATTTTCACCTGAGGATGGAATACCGTGTTATTGGTGAGTTGATGAAGAGGCTAAAAGTTGCTGAAGGGAAGGAAAAATTTCTTCTTCAGGTGAAGTTGAATAGGGCCATGAGGATGGTAGAATGGAAGGAAGCATATGATCCAAATGATCCCACCAATTACGGCGTCATTCAGAATGATCAGTTAGGATCTTCTGTTGATCTTCTGCAGCATGCTGGGTTCGAAAGGGAGCAGCGGTTAATACAAGGTGGAGAGGGTGATGATGACTTAGAGTTTGATGACATGAAAGAGAAGGATACTATAATAATGGAAAAGCTTAATGAATTAGACAAGATACTTGAGCAGAAGCTGTCCGCATTGGATCACACCTTTGGAAAGAAAGGGAAGCTTCTGGAGGAAGAAATTAGAGATCTTGCTGAGGAAAGGAACTCATTGACTGAGAAGAAGAGAACACCTCTGTACAGGAAAGTACGTGGATGCCTGTTCTGCCTTTCTTAATACACTAATGACTGAGTAGTAGATTTCTTTCATGTCACATAATAATAATTGTGTCATACAAGGCTGCTAACCTCTATGAAACTTAGGCCAATATAGCCCATGTTTGGGCTCCATTTAGTGAAAAATATATTTTTTCAAAACTCATTTTCAACCGTACATTTTTCAATAAAATAATATTACACATAAATCCAAAACATTTGCTTACTTTTTAAACACACATTCTCCAAAAAATTACTATTCCAAAATAATTTTTCCCAAAACCTTATTAAAATGGAGCCCAAACAAAGGCATAATCTCCCTGTTCAGGTGTTTCTGCTTCACCAGCATAACAGATGCTACCATATAATGGACATTTATGCTGAGTTGATGAGCTTTCATTTAAAAGCTTCTTCCTTTCTTATGCTGACCATAGAAAGTTCTTTTGGAGATGAGGAGGGAATCGACTAAGACAGAAGGGAGGGGCAAAGAGTAGCTCGATCCATCTCCTTCAATCATGCCAGCCGAGTAGGCTAAGATCTTATCCTTCACTTGAGAAGCTATCTGATTATTACGGGCACATTCTGCTATCATGTTAGCATTACTTTGTGGGGTTCTTTTATCTTCCATTAAACATCTCTGTCAATATTGGTTATGCTTTTTGGCTTCTCACGAATCAATTTTTTCCTTCATTTCAATAAGCTCGATCATCTGTACTTATCTTACTCACTGTAAAGCTAGTATTTCACTCAGTCTGTGCTCAATGGTTTCAGGGTTTTGATGTGAAACTCATTGATGTCAATAGAACCTGTAAAGTTACAAAGGTAAAATAATCTCTCTGTTGAACTTCCCCCCCCTCCCCCTTTCTCTTTGCGCTTTGAAGAACTCAATAATTACGCTATATATGAATGATACAGGGAGGTCAAGTTGTCAAGTACACTGCAATGCTAGCTTGTGGTAACTATCATGGTGTTGTTGGTTTTGCAAAAGCAAAAGGTCCATCAATTCCGATTGCTCTTCAGAAGGTATCAAGCTGGTATTTGCCTTCGTCAGTGAATTTCAGAAAATTTCTCTGTTGAATATGCAATCAGTTGATCTCATGGTTAACTAGCGAAAAAAGTTCCAATGCTGCTAGATGAATGTGTAAAACTTGAGTACTTGGCGTGTGTGTAAAAATATCCAATCAACTAATTTTGTTTCAAATATGTACCATAGGATCTTTCTATCGTTTGAAAGACAATTTGTATGTTAAGAATGCCTCTAAATTATCTGGTTGCTCGTGCTAACTATTTTTGTGATTTTTTGCATGTTCATTTTCTGACAGGCCTATGAGAAATGTTTTCAGAATCTCCATTATGTTGAACGGCATGAGGAGCATACAATTGCACATGCAGTTCAGACTTCGTATAAAAAGACCAAGGTTCTATCTAATATTCTTGTTCCTTAAGCTTGTTCTAAAGGAAGTAGGAAAATTACAGCTAAAGAAAATTTTCATTTCTTCTTGTCACCCAAATATTGTATCTACTTTTAGGTGTATCTTTGGCCTGCATCCACTCAAACAGGGATGAAAGCAGGCAGAACTGTCCAAACAATTCTCAATTTGGCTGGTTTCAAAAATGTGAAATCAAAGGTAAAAAAAATAAATCTAATGTCCTATCACCTGCACAATCGGTTTCTAAATTCATGATGTCTTAACATGAATACTCTTATAGGTCATCGGTTCAAGGAATCCTCATAACACAGTCAAGGCTATTTTTAAGGCTCTAAACGCGGTATGTAGAATAATCTTCTCATTCTGAAGGCATTCTATTTTTTATATTTGATTTAACTCAAGTTGTTTGCATTTTGTTTTCCTTTACAGGTTGAAACTCCCAAAGATGTTCAAGAAAAGTTTGGACGAACTGTTGTCGAATCATATTTACTATGAAGGCATGTTTTGAGATCGCAATATTTAATCTGTTTTTTCCGCTACGTTTCTCCTGAATGTGAAAGAGGCTAGTCTAGCACGTAAAATAAGAAAAGTATAAAAACATTGTTTCTGTTGTACTTTCCTTGACGTTTAATGATAAGATATGATTTTATAGTACTTATTCCTCAACAATCTGTATTCTGGTAATGTTTCAATTTTTTGACAAAGGAGCCATTAATGTGCCCCGATCAGAATTTTCTTGACTTGCAAATTTTCTTTTCACAGGTTTATTAAGGGCCACTGTCTTCTTCTGGAGGTGTTATTCCCTCTAGAGGCCAACGGGATATGCTGTAGAGTTTCTCTTTGCCCGGAAATAGCTGTAAATGTGACAGCCATGGAAGCAAAGATGCTATGAAAATCTCATATATCATTGTAAAACCAGGAAGTCAAGTAGGATACAACAAAGAGGCTTTAAATGCCCAAATACTGGAGTTAATACTTCAGTTTGGAGTTTGTTTCAGTTGTATTGTTACTGATAGATATGCCTTTTTGTGCGAATTTTTCTATCTTTGAGAATTCATTTTATATTATTTCAGTGGATATAAAATAAAATTAATGATAATGAAAAATGTGGGCGTTGGACTTTCATTTGGATGTGTTTTATTCAGTTATGCCTGTGTAACTGCTGTATGAGATTTAGCCTCCGTTTGAGTCCAATTATTTCTCATTACATTATATTAAAATTTTCTCTTACTTTTAACCACACAATTTTCAATAAAATAATATTACACGTAAATTAAAAAATTTCAACCATTCATTTTTTAAAAAAAATACTATACATCTCTTTATAATCTGCAAATAATGAGGTTCAGACGGCACCTTTGAGTGAAACTGTAGATTGGCATTGAATATATCGAAGATATCTGCATGGAAATAAGATGTTGGAAATTTTTTTTTATATTGTGTATATTATATTCATGTCATTTATTTGTGTGAAATCGAAATGTAATTTTGACTTATCGAAATGAATTTGAGAAGCAAAAGAATAATAATTACTGAATTCGAATGTATGAATATGGATTAATCTTTTTTCGATTCTTGAACGAAAGCAAGCCATTCATAGGATCGAACATTGCAATATAAACATGTAAATAAAGTTAATCTCTTTCTGAAATCAAAGTATAATCAAAGAAACTAGAAAATGAAACAAGAATGCAAGCAATGGATTTTCGGTCGAGGTAAGTATTGAACAATTTGTCCTTAAAATGAATTTTCTTCGTATTGGTGTTAACGGTTTTTCTGGCAATTATCTTTCAAGATACAACGACCACGTCTGACCATAGAAGCACTCCAAATGACTTAGATTAACGAACTCGAAAGGAATTCCCTCTCTACATAACCATGACTTTGATGCAAGTGTTTAATGCAAATTAAACTGCAGACATGTAATGGAATGATATATAATTATCTATTGACTAGAATTTTTAAATGATTAAATCCAAACATGTGGGGTCAATATATAGTGTTTGGAAAGGTATATTAAACGACACAACCAAATCAAGAAAAGCATCTCATTAAGAGACATAATTATTGGAAATTAATTGTACTGTATGCATGATCCTTCATACGAAAAGACACATCTTTTCACCCATATATTTTTAGAATATTCCACAATATTCTATACGATTTTTCAATAATTTCAAGTATTGAAGCGGTTTACTTTTGACTTAATTTCTCATTCACCAATAAGGAATTCCACTTAAATAATAATTTAAAATTGGTCACAACCAATTTTCGATACAAAATTTCAACATAAGATGCATTATACAAAGAATTTGTACATATAGAAGATGATCCCCCAACCATACATAAACGCATAAAAACTTCATCTATTGACTGCGCACTAAGTATTACTTGCAAAAGAAGTCATCTAGTCTTCAGAAAAACAGTCCAAACCCGACCCTTAATGTTTCCATCTTTGAAGCACATTTTTTGACTTCCCTACATTATATGTAAGATTTAAAAGTTTGATTGAGCTGCATTCGAGGTTTTATTTTAATGCTGGCAAAGGGATTCCTCTGTTCTACATGGATATAGTCTCTTGTCTTGAGAACCTGCATTTTTTTCATGTAAAAACTGAAAGTTACAAGTACATTTTTTAGCTTAGCCAAACATGCTCTTAATCACAATCTTAGTGGATGATTAGAGCCCGAGGCCCTAGGCGTCCTTAAATATAATTTTTTTTTTGGCAAGTCTTGCAATCTTTTTAACACCAATCATGACTGGTTCAAATCCAATTACTTTATAACTTTTAAAAAATGAAATGATCATTTTTAAATAAATAACTTGTTTTCAGCTTTCATAAAAATTAATTTATGAAACTAAAAGAAACTTTAGCAATAAATTATCTATGAGATTTCATATTTTTAATTTTTTTTTGCATTGATATTTTCCCTAGATTTGATGTAAGGATTTTTTAATCAATAGATGCCCTTATATGTGTGAATAATTGTGTGTTAAATTAAAGGCTATCAAATTCAGATGAGCCCAATTAAAGTGATCTAATAAGATTTCGATTTTTGGATTTTAATGTATCCAATTAAAGTGTGGGTTTACATATGTGAAGAGACCAGACCCAAATCCTAATTCTATGATGGGCCGAATTAGGTCAAAGGGCGTCGCTATATAAATAGGTATGGTCCCCAGATCATACGTACGTATTATTCATTCTCTACTGCATCCCATCACAGAGAGAAAAAGGATACTGCGTGTAAATTTGGAAGACTATACCGCGAAATTTATTATTGCATTAAACCATGTCTGATTCAGGTACGCTTCCGCTTTAATTCATCAATTTCTTGATGATTTAACATGAAAGATCCGACAATTTAAAGTAATAAATTATCTTACAAGTGGTATCAGAGCCTTTTCATGTTGAATCATTGAGAATCGAATAATTTAATTTGATTATTGCAATATTTTATAAAATTTGCAGATTTGATAATTTAGGAGTTATATTTTGTTGAATTTGAAAATTTTTGCAGTATAATTTTTGTTATTTTCGTAATTCAGATTAATGGTTGAGAAAAATTCAAATTTGGAATTTCAAATTTTGGGTTTAAAAAAAAAATTGCTGTAAAGGTTTTCCGGAAGCAGCAGCTTCGCGCTGCTGCCTACACAGCAGCTCCCGAAGCTGCTACAGCAGCATCGGGGCTGCCAATGACAATTGGGGCGCAGATGTTGGCTGGCGCTCCAATCAGTAAGGGCTGCGCCGCCCTAAGGAGAAGAAAAGAAAAATTTTCATTTTAGGGTTTTTCAGTTTTTTTTGGTCGATTTTGGGGCGGGGGGCCTCACATGTAAATTAGGTAATTTGAGGTCCCTGTTTACAATTAGAGTTAGGGTTATAAAATTAAAGTTTCAATCCCTAACTTTTAAGTTATATTAATATTTGGGCCTTTAAGTTTTGAATTTAATAATTCAGTCCCTAAGGTTTTAACATTAATTAATTCAGGCCATTAAAGTTCCGAATTTTATAATTAAAGCCCTCAAATTTTAATTATTAATTCAAATTGGCCCCCAAAGTTTATAATTATTTCAAATTGACCTCCAAAGTTTCAAATTTTTAAAATTTAATCCCTAAGGTTTTGAGTTGGTCAATTTTGGCCCCTAAAGTTTTAAAATTTGTTCTAATTGATCCTCTAAAGTATTGAATTAATTAATTATGGTCCATAAAGTTTCAAGTTTATTAATTTTAACCCCTAAAGTTTGGAATTAATTAATTTTGCCCCCTTAAAGTTTTGAATTATTAATCCTAAGGCCCCTAAAGTTAAAAACTAATCAAAATATGCAAAATTGGTGATTCTCCTTCTCAAATTTTGGTACTAAGGACTCTTTTAAGAGATATAATATTTGAAAGTTGGTTAATGGAAGCAACATGTTGTCAAAGCAATCTTTCTTGTGGAAATTGACTAACTTAGAATATTAAAAGGTGTTTGTGCATGTGTTATTCATGAGAATATTGGTCGGTCCAAAGGAAGGTCAATATTTAACCGAATACACGTGCAACTGTGGTGATAAACGTGTGACGATTATTTGGTTTAATGTATGATCAATAAATCGGTCCAAAGAAAAGTTTGTTGATTGACACATTGTTTTATTGTCAATGTTTGATCACTACGCCAAGAGTACCGCTTACAAGTTAATATCTCTGTCCAAAGACTAGATATTGATGTTGTGCTTGGTATCTTGTGATGGGCCCTACCACTATTTAAGATTATTATTATTTGCATATTAAAGATATTCATGTGAGCTATTCATAATAAACGTTCTCTAATTCAGTTTCAGGTTCTGCTGCTAATATCTCTGCTAGCATCAATTCAATTCCAATGCTAAATGGCACAAACTTTAGGGCGTGGCAAGAGAACGTGATGATTGTTCTCGGAGTCATGGACCTGAACCTTGCTTTACGGGTCGATCAACCTGCTGCACTTACTGATAAGAGTACCTCTGATGACAAGAGGGAGATGGAAAAGTGAGAACGATCGAACCGCATAAGCTTGATGGTCATGAAGCGTGCTATTCCATAAGCATTTCGGGGCACTATGTCCGATAAGGTGACTACGGTTAAGGGTTTCTTTGAGGACCTTGAGAAGAGGTTTGTCAAGAATGAAAAAGCTGAAACAAGTACACTTTTGGCAAATTTTGTCTCAATGAGGTATAAAGGGAAAGGAAACATTCGAGAGTATATTATGAAAATGTCTCACATTGCTTCAAAACTAAAGGCACTCAAGTTGGATTTATCTGAAGACTTGTTGGTGCACTTGGTTCTGATATCCCTTCCGACACATTTCAGTCAATTCAAGGTGAGCTACAATTGTCAAAAGTACTCAAGGTCGCTTAATGAGCTCATCTCACATTGTGTCCAGGAAGATGAAAGATTGAAGCATGAGAAGACAGAAAGTGCTCATTTGGCCACTACCTCTAAGGACAAAAGGAACAAGAAAAGGAAGATTAATAAGGAAGCTGTGGGTACGGCACCGCAAAAGAAACAACATAAGTAACCGACTGAAAGTAGTTGTTTCTTCTGTGGAGCTACAGGTCATAAGAAGAAGAATTGCACCAATTACCATGCATGACGTGCAAAGAAAGGTATTCTTCTTCATTTGGTTTGTTCTGATGTTAATTTAACTTCGGTACCTAGACATACATGGTGGATAGATTCTGGTGCAAAAACTCACATCAGTATGTCTATGTAGGGTTTCTTGAGCTTTCGAAAACCAAGTGATGGTGAAAGATACATCTATACTGGAGACGGCAAGAAGGTGGAAGTAGAGGCAATAGGAAAATTTAGATTATTGTTAAAGACTGGATTTTATTTGGATCTTGTTGAGACATTTATTATACCGTCTTTTAGACGGAATTTGATTTCTATTTCTGTTTTGAACAAATTTGGTTATACTTGTTCATTTGGAAATGGAATATTTAGTTTGTTTCATGATTCAAAATTGGTTGGTTCCGATTCTTTATCAGGCTACGATAATCTTTATTCAATTGATTCAATTGCTTCTTTTAATGAATCCTTGCATGTAAGTACTCGAGGTGTAAAGCGAAAATTAACCGGCGAGAATTCTGTCTCGTTGTGGCACAAG